GGATGACGCTTTCGCAGATGGAGAGAGCCCCGAGCGAAGCCTGTGTTACTTGGGGATAACCTCCCTGGAAGAAAGGGACAGTGACATTTTTGTGACAGAAGGCTCCGGGGTGATGTGTCGGTTCCGTACAACCGACCTGCTTAGAGGTGGGGAGTTCCTCCAGCGTACGCCTCCCAGCTTAGATGCCTTTCTCCAAAGCAGCCTCCAGGACAAAGCCGTTGCGCCCTACGTGCCGCAGTTTCAGATGCCTCCTGCCAAGGGGCAAGAGTCCACCGAGAAAACCTCTTAAGTCCCACCCCGCCATCTGATGCTCGTAATGGGATTTTTAGGTGTTGATACGTCCCCCTGGTTTTGCCTCTCCCGACTTCTGTCAGGAGCTCTCCCGTTTGGAAGCTGGGTAACTGGTTCTTCACCCTTGGTCCTGGGGCTGTGGGCTGTCCCCGGCGCAGAGCCTTCCGCAGCGGCCTGCTGCCACCCTGCTCAGCCACCACGTTGCTCGGCTGCGGGCAGAGCGCAGCAGCGCCTGCCAGGGGCCGGCCCTGACCACGGGAGACTCTTCCTCCTGTGGGGAGAGGCAGAGGGCTTGGGGCTCTCCAGGCCTTGCTGTGGAGATGCCCAAACACGCCTCAAGGGCTGGGAGGGGTTCAAGCAGCACACGCCCAGTGAGCACAGCTCCTTTTGCGTGCGTTTCCTAAGTGACCCTTTACCGTCCTGTTGAAGATTGTGCCCAGTTTGGTAGCAGTCGGCTTCTTTCCATTTATTGTTGTGGAGCAGGACCAGGTTTTCCACAGGGCTGAGCTCTTCAGCCGTCGGCTCGCTGTGCTGACAGAGCTTGTTCGTGCTTCGGGCTTTGCTTGGGGACCCCAAGGGCAAGATAGAGTGACCCAGTACGTAGATTGGATCGTGTACATGTGTGGTGTTTTTTGGGGTGGAAAGCTGGAATGTGTCGTTTCACTGGGAATGATTTGTGACACCGAGTGCTACAGACCGGGTCGGCGGTCGCGCGGGGACTGCCAGGTTGTGATACATCACTGTCCGCTTGAACCAGTGGTAAATGGACGCGCTGTGCAAATGCCAGATCCATCCCTTCGTCTTTTTTCCCCCCAAAATCCTGCTGTATTTATTGCTCAGCTGACGTCAGCCTTAAACTGAGCCTGTGGAGACACAGACGGTCCGCGTGGAAAAGCAGCCTCAACGCTGTACTGGGGTTGTTGGAAGGGAGGCCCTGAGCGGTGACGGCAAACCTGTGGGTGCCGTTACGGGTCTCGTCTCATTGAAAATACTGATCAGAAGCGTGAGAGAGACGGCGAGGTCCGAGACGGGCGGAGCAGCGCGTCCGTGTGCGAGACACTCCTGGATGAGTGACGGTGCCGGTAGCCGAAGACTTAGGGTGCTGCAGGAAGGGGGAGAGAATTGGAATTCTTGTGGCTGCGTTAATCATGGGGTATTATCCGGGTAAAGTGATGCACTTGGAAGTAAGTTATCCACATTTTTGTTGTTGAAGGCAAGATCCTAGTGTAAACGGTACTGCCGAAACCTACCATCTCTTCCAAACCCTGCTCCAAAGGGCCCGCTTTCGCTGACAAGGCAGCGAGTTGATCCAAGCATCCTGCAGTTTCCATCTCCGGAGAGCTAGCCGGTGTGCGGGCTTGGAGGAGTTGCCCTGCCCCGAGGAGCCCTGCTCTGCCCTGCTGGAAAGCTGCAGGTGGGAGGAAAACTGGATCTTGCGCCTCAGCTGGAGCTGCTGGGGTAAGCAGGTGAAGGAAGCCGCACCGATTCGCAAGCCAAACGCGTCTTTTTCTACTTCATAGTTAGTAAATGTTTTTGTATATGTGCCTTTTCGAAGAGCTCTTCTGAGGAGCTGAGGAAGAGGAGCCGTGCGTATTCCAGAGCTCAATTGCTGTGAAACTCCTAAAGGCAATTAAAAGGGCGAACTCCGGCAAGAGTAGGAAGTGGTAGGGGAGGTGCGGAAACACTTGAATCCACTAGTGATAAGAAATCCTACGGAGCCAAGGGGACCAGAGCAAGCTTTTATCTGCACTTTGGGTTTCAGACAAGCTTTACAAAAAACCCCGCTGCTTTATCTCAAACCGGCTGCTAACCCGGCTCTCGCTGGGTGTCTCCGTTCTGGATGTTGAATATGACCCAAATCTAATGAACTTGATTCAAAAATACTGTGTGTGACAGGGAGAGCGAGAACATGTTTTGTGTAAGTATCCCAAGCTCCTTGTCACGTGAAAATGGGACTGAGGGCTGCAGGGACAAGCCTGAGCTCTTGAAAAGGTTCCCCAGAGCTCCATGAGTAGCTGCCATCAGCTCCCGGGCGAACGCTGAACCTGGAAGTTGTCTGAAAAAAGAAATTCCCTCCTGCCAGCACATCATGGGCCCAGCCTCCGGCTCCACCCCGTGCCCCCGGGAACGGACTCGGCTGTGGGATTCTGCCTTTCCTGATGGCTTGCCCACCAGATCCAACATCCCTTGGACGCTGAAGTTGGGAGATGTGGGGAGGACAGCGTAGGTCTGCTGCCCCACTGAGCCCGCGCCAGCCAACGCCACGGGTACCCCTCATGTGGTGCAACTGAATTTGGGGTGGAAGACCCAGATTCCTGCACATCAACCTCTTGTTAACGGGGGCGCCAGGTAGAGCGAACTGGTGAAATGCAGTTTTGTCCCAGCTGCCGTAGCATAACCGTATCGCCTGCTGTCTGGAGGAGACCCCTGCCACACTCCCCTCAGCCGCAGCCTTGGGGGGCGAAGGGCAGTGCAGGTCTCTGTAGGCCGGCATAATAAACGCATGGTTCATCGTGACGTTTGGATTTCTGTAATTACTGTGTCCAGGAAAATTACTTGGTGGCGTTTGAAGATGGTCTTTCCCAAGGAACGAACGGCCCACGTTGATTTTGTCCCACAGAGTCCTCATCCAGTAGCTCTGTAAGGACAGGAGTGCCATTGACCACGGGACCGGTCAGCTGCGTGAGCCAGCAAAGGTTTTCCTGGGAACGTGGGAAAATGCAGGATTTAGTCTCTGTCCCCTCTGACGTGCCTCGGGGCTGAGGGCGGGAGGGAGTGTGCAGCCGGGGCTTGCCGTGCTGCCTGCAGCTCTGCTGCCGGGTCGCTGTGTTACAAAAGCAGCGCAGACTCTTCCCTGGGTGGAGGGAGGGGGGATGACATCCAGCTGCCGTCACCTCTGGGCATCCAGCCTGTGCCCCCGGAGAGCCTCTCTGCCATCCCGGTTGTGGTGGTTTCCTCATGGCCAGAGCAAGTGGTGCTGCTCTTAGAAAAACCGATGGGTAGGGTATTTACAGAAACCCCTGCTGTGGGGGTAAGAAATACCGCAGGTACTCTGGGATCACTTCTGCTTCCCGGAATCTTTTGGGTTCGAAAAGCCCTTTAAGCCCACCCAGTCCAACCATCACCCCAGCACTGCCCAGCCCACCACTGACCCCTGTCCCTCAGCACCTCGTCCACACGGCTCTGAAACCCCTCCCGGGATGGGGACTCCCCCCTCCCTGGGCAGCCCCTTCCAACCCTGACAGCCCTTTCCGGGAAGACATTGTCCCTGATATCCCATCTAACCCTCCCCTGGCACAGCTTGAGGCCGTTTCCTCTTGTCCCATCACTTGTCCCTTGGGAGAAGAGACCGACCCCCCCCTCTCTGCACCCTCCTTTCAGGGAGCTGTAGGGAGCGATAAGGTCTGCCCTGAGCCTCCTCTTCTCCAGGCTGAACCCCCCCAGCTCCCTCAGCCGCTCCTCACAGGAATTGTGCTCCAGACCCCTCCCCAGTGTTCAAGTGCAGCTTCTGTCGAACCAAGCACTGTAGCCCTTGATGTAGCTCGGCCTTTTCTGAAGCGACCTCCGCACGTCCCCAATCCCTGACTTTCTGACAGTCGGAACCCACGTCCCGACCCACAGTGAAGGGCTGGGCACAGCCCTGGGAGTTTATTCAGTAAATGCTCCTGAAACGGACTCACAGTCTGGCGTTTTCATCCCTACGGAATGGACACTCAATCCTGCTCTTCACCTCTCTTCACCGCTGCGTAAAGCCAAAATCTGCGTATCCTGAGGCCACCATCTGCCACCGTCGGCCTCTGCCCCGGTCTCCGGTTACGGTTTTGGCTCTGGCTGCTGCCGCGGCAGCATCTGCCTCTGGGAGAGGAAATTAAGGGCTGAGTCACCTACCACAGTCTTTTCTCACTGTTATTTTTCCCCCCGCTGACTTCAGGCAGTTTATTGGACAAAGCCGAGTCCTTGCCATGCCGTGCCGGACCCGTGTGATGCTCCGTGTCGCCGGCAGTCTCTTCACAGGGCAGCCAAGACGCGTGCTTTGCGCAGGGGCAGGATCTCGGTTGCTTACGCCTCGGGGAGACGAGGCCGGGCAGGTACGGCGCCTGGGTGTTCTGAGGGGGCTGGGGAGGGTGGTTTTCCCTGCAGAGCTGTGAGCAGACGGCCCTCCTGCTGTCTCTCGGTGGCTCAGTGCCACCAGAAGGGCTGGAGCAGCGCCGGGCCGGCTGCCTGTCCCGAGCAGCTCCTTTTCCTACCAGGTTTTTGGTTCTGGAGACTTGGGGCTCAGTTCCCCTTCGATGGATTGGAGATACACACCTCCCACAGAGTTTTGCTTGTGCCTGTGATGAGTTTGAGCGTTGATTTTTGAGAGCAGATACCTAATTTTTAAGCACATGGGAACTCTAAGTGCTGGGACTGCAAGCACAGCCCCCTTCCAGGCACATCTCTTAGCCAGCCAGCAAAATGCTCATTCAGAAAGTTAGCAGCGAAGCACTCAGAGGACACTGAGCTGCTGTACTGATCTCTGCGTGACTTTGCTGACAGCGTCAGAGCTCCCACTCGGCTTCCCCGACTCCAGAACGGCTTTGCTGAGGCAGCGGGAGCCGAGGGACGTGGGTCTTTCGCCCAGCGAAGGGCTGGAAGGAGAGGTTCACGTTCCGCAGTTGTGTACTCAAAGCTGTCTGAATGGGAGTGGAGCCAGGTCTGCGCTTGGTGCCTCTCCCTGGCTCCAGACCCGTCTTGGGAAGAGGTGCGGGAAGTCCTTGCCAAGAA